CGCCTGCCGCCCGCCGCCACTGTCGATCGCCGGCGTCAATTGCAGGTTGCCATTGTCGGATGTCGTCCATCACCAACAAATAAAACCTTATATAATTTGAAATACATTATTTTTAATCTACTTCAAATCAAACAAAAAAAAAGTCTTATATTTATTTTACAGTGAACCAAACAACTCTAAAGGATTTCAAATAAAATACATTACTCATGTATTACGTTCATTTTACGCTGCATTGTTTTTTTAGCAAACGAAAGCTCTACAAGTCTTCACTATAATGGCTTCTTTTTCTAAACTAATTTACGACAAGTTTGATCGAGAAGAGTGACAAAAGAGTGCCCTGCTATAGTCCCGTGTACCACGTTCCCGAATAGTAATTCCGCAAACAGCGAAATCTAAGCTCTAGCAATTATAGGTTTAGACGGGAAGAGGAGAGAGCGGACTTCAAAATTTTAGCATATCTTTTATTCTTTTTTAATTTTTTTCCCTTAATGCTATTTCTAATTGGATTTTTCGGTGAGGGAACTATTTATATATTATATTGTTGGTTTAAGGGATTTTTGCCTTGCTTAAAGTGTTATCGAGATTATAATCTCAGGCTTCTACCTAACGAAATGCTGTAAACTTTTTATATTTGTAAGTGATGTGTCTGTCACCTGTTCAAGTCTAGGTGAACCTCCTAGACATCCACAACATGATGTTTTGTCATCCATCACACTGTTTTCAACAGGGACAGCCGCCGAACAACCCAAATCTGCTGCCCACCAACAGATTTTAACCCATATACCATTTCAAATGCCATAGACCGCCCCTATTCCCATCCTCTTACATTCCACAACCACTACCCCACTAAATCCACTTCTTAAACATCTTATAAGAGCCCTAGAACGGTATCATTTGGTATAAGAGCCCGACAAGCCCTAGATCTTTACGATTTTGTCTTTCTTGCCCTGAACAAAAATTCCAAATAACCTAACCTAAGAGTCCTACCAATAATTTTTTTTCCCAAATCATTCCTACCACAATTCCTAGCCCCAAACCTAAAATGTTCAAAATCCAACTTTCCTACCTCCAAAAAAATTTCATCAAAACACTTACACCAAAACTCAAACCCCAAAACAATCTTGATTTGCAATCCCACATCAACAAGAAACCTGACCGGGAGGAAAGAAGGTCATGTTGTTTAGGAGAAATCCTCAACAAGGTGTCAAGGAACATATTATGGAGGATAGGCAGCGGGAAATCTTCCGGCTGTAGCACAAATAGCTTGCCATTGTTGAGAGGAGAAACTTAGGCAAGGTTATCCATAGCCACAATGGTGACTAGTCGGATCGATAGGAGGAAGTGAATCCCATCCACCAGGCAATTTTCCAGTCATGAAGAGCTACTACTTCAAAGATTCAGCGTGGACTATCAGAGGAGAAGCCATAAACTTGGAACAAAAGGTGAATTTACAGAAGTTCGACAATCGCATGGACCCAACTGAGTTTATTGAGTGTATTCAAACAGTGAAGTGAATTTTATAGTACAAGGATGTTCCTTAGAATAACAGAGTTAAATTTGGCAGTCATTAAGCTCAAGATAATTTCTTCATTGTGGTGGGAGAACCTGAAACGTATTAGGCAGCAAGAAGGAAAGAGTAAAATCACCAAGTTGTCGAAGATGAAAAGAGAGATACAACAGAAATACCTTTATCTACATTACCGTCGGGACATGTTCATAAAACTTACAACTTGCGTTAGAGAGACACTTCTCTAAAGTACACAACTGATTTTGATCAACTCATTATGAAAGGTGAGTTGGTGGAACCAGAAGAACATACAGTGGCAAGATATCTTGAAGAGCTGAGGTCATCTATCAATAATATAATTCAGCTGCAACAGTATTGGTCCCTACTCGATATACAAACCCTTTCATTGAAGATGGAGAAACAACAACGTCATCAAATGACCACCACAACTTACAGTCAGAGTTCAATCACAGAATCACACAATAAAAGCACGCCAAGTGGGGCATTCCAGCCAACCCCACCAGAAGATTAGAGAAAGGGTAGAGAGTCCACCAACACTCCCAAATCCATCCCAACCATAAAGTGTTTCAAGTGCTATGTTTGTGTCTAATGGCACACACAATCTTTCACTATGCAAAGTGCAGTGGAGAAGAATGATGTGCAGAACCAAGGAAAGTGATTTGAGGAGTATCGGCTCATAGCTGATGAGAGAGATACTAATGATTCAAGTTGAGACCACAAGAGATAACTCTAACAGAATTAACAATAGTTGTCATAAAAGATAGTGAGTTTGAGAAGGCAATATCAGAAATAAGGTAGCCCTTGTTGAGGGAGTTGTCGAATGTCCTGACTGACAATTATCTCCCGGATGGGTGCCACTGGGAGTTGTCCAACATGCCATAGATTTCATTATAGAGTTGGTTCATTCAGACAATTATTTATCAGATATGCTCAACAGAGTATGAGAAGTGGGAGAAGTGAGTTAGATATTTAATGTCTTGAAACTTTGCCATTGAGAATGCCCGTCTACATGCAATTTCAAGTCTCGTTGTGCCAAAAAATGATGGATATTTATTCAATCAGGACAGACTTTGGAAGGGTGTATGTATTTAAGAGTTACTTAAAATAGATGTGAGCATAAATTTTGCAGTGGGACTGCTCAGACACCACAAGGCGATAATTTTGTTATGATGTGAATCAATTAATTCCAAAAGCATATAGAAATGAAGAAGAAGCCTCTTCTAATTGGGTAGAATTTCGAGAGCTCCCTGCTTAGTTCCAGGATCAATGTACCGTGATTCCAATCACCGTAATTCTGCATTCTGTGAAATTTGAGCTCCCATAATCACGAGTTCGAAGAGGATGAGGGGAGCGCTAACTTCAAAATGTTAGCATATCTTTTATATCTTTTTTGATTTATTTCCTATTTCGCTATTTCTAATTAGGTTTTCAGGTGAGGTAACTATTTATATGCAGTTAATTTGCTAGTTTAAGAACTTTTGCTTTGTTTTGAGTGCTATGGAGATTATAATCTGTGTTTATTTGTCTATGGAATGTTGCCAATTTTCTTTTGCAGGTTGTGTATGTAACTAGTGCAGGAATAGGCGGTAGACCTCCATGTCATTTGCACCACGTTGTTTTGTCATTTCTTGTTGCTTTCAGTTAGGACAGCTGCATAACTGCTCAAATCTGCTGCCCACCAGCAGATTTTAACCCATTACCCCTTCTGAACACTGTCAGCCACCCCTATTCTCATTCTCTTATCATTGCACAACCACCACCCCACTAAATATGTTTCCATAACACCTTCTAAGAGCTCTAGAATAATATCAAAGAGTGATTATTGCTGATAGCTCATAATGAAAACAATCCAAATTAAGATCTTATAATTTCACCATCCGAGCTTGTTATGAACCATAACAAGGGAGTTAGTCAACCCAGCCTAACCGAAGAATTTTTATCACTATCAACAGTTTTGCCACCCAAAAATGCCTCATAGACCAAGGAGAAAAGCTAATCAAAGGGATCAACTTTAAGGTTGATCTTAGCTAACAAAGGACTTCATTCCATTTTGTACCATATGGCTTTATAACTCAGAGTTCGCGATTGAGAAATATTGGCATTTGGCCCTTCTCTCAATTATCATACTTCAAAGGCACATTTTAAGTATACCATCCAATTCTTACTAGTAATAGATTTTTTAGTGTGCTCATATGTACACACTGCATATTACATCGATTTTGTAAAAGCATAATCAAATTTGAATTTCTCACTCTTTATAAATTGGCTCAAAGGGGGGATGAGTAGCAACTATGAGGAGAGAATGGCTAGGTTATTGCTTAAGCTTTGACTTTTTATATGTTGCTTAATTTTTATATTTTTAGGGAGACAAAGTTGAAGATTATGGAAGCTAAAGATTGGATGGAAAATTTCACATCATTTGAGAATGCTTTGATGCACCGGCCATCAAATAGTAGGAAGATGATGTATCTCAAAACCATGAACACATAATAATTATTTGTTGGACCTAAAATTGGCGATGATGACAACAATCTCGCTAATTAAAGCAATCTATAATGCTACCCATCATTGAGAATGACACTTGCAATGTATTTATTTTAGAACTTAAGTGAGAATTTTATGTTAAAAATTCCCTCTAATTATGATAGCAAAAAATCAAACTAATTGGCAAGGACAAAGAGTCTTCAACTATTTGCATGATTTGAAATGAGAGGCGTTAATTGCCAGCGAAGAGTAGCAGATCTGATGCGGCGACTAGGGGGATGAACCGGTTTAACTCGATTCAGCAGAAACCTACAAAGTGTAAGGACTGAACCGGCCCCCCGGCTTTCTTTTCTATTTGGACACTCATCGGTGTCCCTGTATTGTAGGTTTGTATCCGAGAACGAATGGTGCTCCGGCCGTATCTCACTCAGAAATGGTGATTATCCTTGGTTTCCCTCTTCCCTGCAACCTCCCTCTTGCTGTCTCTGTGGCCATAGTTGCTGAAGTTCAACCAAAAACAGCAGTTCTTCGGTCTACTGCAGCCTCCAAATTGTCCACCTCCTCGTACCTCCATTCCTCCCTTCTTCCCAGCCGCAGCCTCAACCTTCCAATCATCAGATTTCTCCCGCTTTCCCGTACCAGTTGCTGCTACTTCACGTTAGTCCCCACACAGCCAGCCCCTCATACAGCATAACTGCAACCTTACTCTCCTGCTTTCCCATCAAACCCAGCCGCAGCACCCACCTGCAAGCCTCGTTTCCGTAACTTCCCCTTACCACCTGCATTCCCCCTACCTCCCAGCAACCACCTGTGGCAGCCACATCTCCCCCTAACCAGCCGCTTGCTGCCCGCATCCAAACATAGGCCCTTCGGACTGCAGGCCTTATCCCCCCCACCCCCCAGCCATTATCATCCCTTTCTAGTTTTGTAAAGTTGTCGTTGTAGCCTATTTTAATTTCAGCAATAACATTTCATTTCTATTGTGGTTTTGGTTCACTCCGGTATCATTTAGTATCAGAGCTAGCCCAACCCTTATCCAATCTAAGGCTTCCTATCATGCACCCCAACCCAAGCCACATCCACCCCAAAAAAATAATTTACCTTCCTTTTCTCAAACCCTAGCAAAATTTTGGTCTAAACCTAATTTCCCCGTGCCGATCTTCAAAATATAAAACCGCAAATTAATTTTCCTACACCTTCAATGAGTCTCATACACCCTCTTTCACCTCCCAACCCTAAACTCTAGCAATGTCAGCAAGGAGATACGTGCTCGAGATTGAGGAGATACAGCAAGAGATACGCTGACTTTAGTGGAGGCTTGCGGGCATTGAGGATAAAAACCAATGGGATATTATCCTCGACCGTGATCTGGAGAGTCGAAAGGGAAAACGAGAGAATTTGAAGATGAAGTGGGAGATGCAGCTTCAATTCTTAGCAATTTACTACAGACAGAATATTCATGCCCTTCAGAAGTAGAGAGACCCCGTCACCGAGCAACCGCCACATCATACAGAAAAAATTAAACCACAGGATCTTATAGGCAAAATACATTCAAGAGAACAACCAAGATGACCCTGCTAGAGGAGAAGCTGATTCAAAGTGAAAAATAGGTAGAGTCAATCCACATCCCTAAATATGTCAGTCATGAAGTGCTGCAAGTGTCACGAATTTGGGCATGTTAAATCAAACTGCGCAACCAGGGGGGTGTGATCTCTTTCATTGAGAAGGGTGGTACTGTTGAAAAATTGGGCAATGACACAATTAATCGGAGACAAGGTGAAGGCTCTAGAGATGATTCTCAACTTGCAGTCTGTAATAACATTGTTTATGGAAACAAATCAAAAATTAAAACTAGTACTTTCGCATTATCTATTCGCATCAAGATCATCGTCAAAATAATAGAGTCCATCCTTTTGTATCAATCATCCATCCTCTTAGTGGTCAACTCATGAAACTCAAAATAAGAAGAGTAGAAATTAACTTGACACTGATGATCAAAAATAATTTTACTAATAGAAAATTAATTACAAGACGAATTCAGAATATGGAGAACATCACGAGGGCTAACAACAAGATGAGTTTGACAGTGCCTATCCTGACAATTATTGAGGGTGAATCACTAACAATTTTGACATTTATTGCCTGCACATTGTCAACAGTATTAGAATAATTTTGAACCAGAAATATGATTAGTTGCGCCACAATTAATTATCCATGAATGAACAAAATTAAGATTAACACATAATAGTGCAATGACTAAAGAGTTACCCTTATGTGTTGTAGAGAGACAAAATCAGTAATAATTTTGGAAATTGAAACAGCTTGTGCGGGTGCCTTAATTGCTCCTTGGTGAAAGGGATTGCATCCAAGCTGCAAGAAGTCTTTTGTTCCTCAACAGGTGCTTGATGAGCTCAACCTTCTCGTTCAGATTTTGATTTCCAATTCGCAGGTTTACTATGAAACTTCCAGCATGTCTCTTTTAAATGTCATATTTTTTTACAATGCTCGCATAACCATTGGTAGGGCGATGTGGTTTCGGAATTACTCGAACCAGTAGAAAAGATAGAAATTCTTTGGGCATCGGTCATCGCTAAATTATAGGACATCATTAGAGGAGAAAGAGGATGTGACAAAACCACGAGTCGATTTCGATCACGAGTTAATTCAATGCTTAAGATGCAGCAAAGAAGTCGGCGGAGAAGGATTAATCCCAGCTCACAATATCTCCGATAACATCCATCTCTTGATGTGCGATTTCGATGGTGCCAAAGGCTGAGAAATAACTCATTGACCAATCGCTAAGAAATCGATGGAGGAGAAGGATAAGAAAACGAGAACATCGAAGAAAGTCAAAAAAGGTCCTACTGAAAAGAAATTGATGGATGAAAGCAACTTCAGGCTTCAAAGGGGAGCAGTTTCGCAAGGTGGAGAAACATGTTGTTGAGGAAAACTTGGTAGAGAAGAATCGAAATCCTCAACGGTGAAACCATGAGAAAGCTGCAACCAAAGTCGTCAACTTTTCCTCTTCTGTACTTACGGTAGTGAGAGTTAGATATATTTACCAGATTCCAAATGAATCTTGAAGCAATCACATATCCATGAAATAAAAATTTTACAAGAATAACAACATGAAGGAAAATCCTCAAATTCCACTTCTATTAACAACCACATATTAGAGTGTCAATCCATATCGCCTTAGCTAAAGAAGCAACAACATTTATTTCAACCAAAACAAAGATAACTTACAGTGGAGAGTTCGTGATGGCAGCATCTACTTGTATTATTTTGCAAAAATAATCCCAATAATTAAGGTATTGATCAATCAATGAAGTGAACACAAAGAAGAAGAAAAACAACAAAAACAAAGGTAAAGAGAGGCACCCACCAAAAAAAAATGCATAAAATCATCCACATAACAAGAGTGATTAGAGAAAATTCTTGCATAATCTCTTCTAAAGATAGTTAGATAAGCACTTGACAATGATCAACTCGTCCAAAGAAATCATCAATCAAATGTAAATCAAACATGAAGTGTGAATACTCCAAGTTCATGGGGTAAAATGCAAATTTACTAACCAAAGTGTGAGAGAATGGTGCGGTCAAATCAGAAATTTCAGTCTACATGAAAATTAGAGCATGTTCACCAATATGAGTTTTTGGTGACCAGATCCTAGCAGACATCACATCATGCTTAAATAACAGAGGAAAACTGGCAGACACAATTGGTGGCAAAGCCTACCTCAAAATAGCATTAATAAAAGAAAAGGTGGGAGTAGAAGGCACGATAAGAGGAGTAGCAACAATATGATGAACCCTGATAATAGCCATAGATGGACCAACACAATCAGTGGAATCAAAAGATGGGAGGCTCAAGGAAGAAGGAAGAACAATGCAATAGGATCAAGGGAAATTAAAATTGAGCAAAAAGAAGTGGACGCTATTTGGAGATCACGGAGGGGTGTCAGAAGAGAAGTAGCATGAAGTAAATGACAGGCAATCACCGACAAAGAAGGTGAAGATTAAAGAAAAATGAAATGGAAGTTAAGACTTAGTGATTTGGACGACAACTACAACATGACGGCAACAACAAGAAAAAAAAAAAGAGGAGTCCAGTGAGAGGCTAGAGGACAAACCTGAGGGCGTACAAATAAAGGCCCAGTTTGTTAACATCACAAATAACACAAGAAATTGTAGAGAATGGTGTGATGAGTGAGCACAAACGGAAGTTCTGAGCCACCAGTTATGACTACGGAGAATGGAGAACCGCAGTGTGAGCTAAGCACACAGGGCCATGATCAACTAAAGTGGGAGTGGCAAGTTCCAAGCTTAGTCGAGCTGGCACGAGTGGTAAGCAGGACAAGTTCAGGCACTGAAAAACTGCATAGAGAGTAAGCACATGAGGTCTATGTTGCAACTCTTGTTTGATTCTCTTCTTTAGCTAAAGCTTGCTAAAAAAGTAATATGTTCTAAAATTCAAAATAGAGACCTGGAATTTTGAGTCAACACAAAAATTGGGTTGTCTAAGAATAGAGTCATTTTAAGCTAACCTAGCTTAACTCAAAACAGTTTTTCAAGTTTGAAACGGGATTAAGTCATGTTAATCTCAAATATTTTGAATTCAACTTAGCAAGCTTGACTTATGCCACCCATACCTTTCAATTTAGCTTGACCTCCCTACCACTTGACACATTGATAACTTTGTGGATCAAAATTTATCATTAATAAACATTACAATATATTTTTACAAACGCATTGAAGGCTAATGGTTAGGCAATGTTTTCCTGTACAGAAAGTCCAAGATCAAAAGCTTAGCACAGCTAAGAAGATGTCGGTTCATAGTTATAATATAAAGTAAAAAATATATTTCATTAAAGTCCTAATATAAGCTTCCATTTTTAATCATTATGTCACTTGAAATAATCCCAGTTTATTTGGATCCTTGCACCATTACCACGAAATCAATTGATGGCAGAATGAACAAAACAACAACTTCATTGGGCGGCCCTCGCACATCACAAATAATGCATTACTACCATGAAGCAGAAGCGGCCAATAGCAGCAGTGGATAAGTTTAATGATGATAAAAGAATTGAGGGAATTTTGGTCATTCTGCATGAAAAGTTTTCTTTTTGTTTAAGAACCTACTAGGAAACGAAAATAACTGTAGGGCTGCATGAAAAAACAAATTTAAGGTACCCAACCAGTGCTAGCCACGAGTTTGAGAAGCCTAGATGCTAATTATTAGATATAAAAAATTTTAAAATATTTGGTTAAGTAGAAGTAAATGCAAAACAAAAAAAGGGAAAAAGAAAAAAGAAAGTTAAATGCACCACCAAGATGACTAAGCAAGTTAAGCAATAGCTACCTGGCGTGCAAGGCGCAAAGCCCTGAGTGATTTTGCCACTATTGGCCAAAGCTCCTCTGCAATTGAATCCCATCTTGGGTCGCTAAAAGATGAAACTGGAAGCACAGTAATATCACCAAGCCGCTCCCACCTGAAAGCCAAAAATTTGACCTCTTGAAGCTGTAAATATCTCAAAAGCACAATGCCAATAAGTACCTAAAGCAAATGCAATAACTAAAAATAGAATGCAACAGAAGCACCTCATACATCAAGTAAGATGCAGGGATTACATATACATATTCATGTAAATGACGAAAGAACACATTCTAGAGAAAAAACTAGCATTTCAATGAGGTGAAAAACAGACCTAACAGGCAGCTCTTCTAACATTCTCAATGGCAAACCTTTTTCTGTCAACAGAGAAGAGACCATTTCTCTCATAACTTTTTGAGGAGTACTTGGTATCCTTTTATCATACGAAGTATCATCAATAATTATGGAAGCTTTACATGATGAGAAAATGTCCAAAGCCATTGAAATGGAAACCCCATTTACTGAAAAATTTTTGAGAAGAACATTCTCTATGCATAAATCAATGGCTTTCTCCTTAGAGTTGAGAGATTCTTTTTGATACAAGTTGTAAAACTCTCGAGAGATTGGTAAACAAATATGAAGGCCATCAAAACTGTGATAAACCTTCTTAGTGAGATCCATCCATCCAAACTTCTTCAATACATCCTTCACAAGCTTAGCATGTTTTTTCTTGACTTGTAGAGCAAGGTTCTTAGGATCTGAGTAAATTCCATGTTCATTATTAGATAAGTCAGCCTCTAAATAAGGCCACAAAGCAGTCGACCGATCCTGCAATTTGCTTCCATTAAGTTGTGAGATATGTTGTCCTTCCATTGCAGAACAGGTAACTGATTCCTCATTTACCCCGCAAGAATAAGTATCCTCTATGGATGCCAGGTTCAAACTCATCTTCATTGGATAACTAAACTTTGTGCCAAATGCATAACAAGAAGCTCCACCCCCAACAATAATAAGTTCATCATCTATAACACTGGTTGAACTACGGATCCAAATAACCCTGTCAAAACTGTTTATGGACACATTAATCCACATTTTATTGATCAGATTTAGCAAAGAAAGCTCTTCATTATGTTGCGTGAGTGGGCAACCACCAATGATGCCAACAAAATCTTTATATACAAACATAGAATGGGAAAACGTAGGAGAAGGAGCTCTTCCAGTAGTCTTCACCCTTTTCCATATAGATGTTTTGGTATCAAAACTATAAAGATCGCCTAGTGCTTTCTGCCCATCATGGCCTCCAAACATAAGCAAATGAGTGCCATATGCAGCCATAGAATGTGAATGTCGAGCAGATGGTAATTCCCCATAAATGCTGGCATTAATCCAATCCAAAGTTTCAGTATTCAGAACATTCATGCAGGAGTAAATGACTTCATTATTTAGACCCCCAAAAGCATATATCTTTGCGCCTATGGCTGCCGTTGCATGCCGGTGCCTGTAATAGACAAAAAAAATTAAAGTGAAAAAAAATCAGACCAGAAGTAGAAAGATACTTTAATTTAAAGTTTAATTAGCATTTGAAAAAAAAAAATCAGTTATTTCCATAGTTCTGAATTAAGAAATATTAGTTTCATCTTTATTATTCATGTTATTCTATTAAATATTGATAGAGGTGGAGGCTCTTTATTTTATATTATTCATCAGAAAATCCATCTATTTATAGTAGAGGAATGAGCATAATATTCAAAGAAAGAACTATGGAAGATTAAGAAAATAATCCAGTTAAATAAATAAAGAGTGGTGATCTTCCTTGACAGAAAGGTGAAACTGTTTATAATTGGCTTTCATACTATCAAATGTGTTTTTTATCATAAAGATATTCCTAATGACAGATGCATTGAATAAGCAGCCATCAAGTTACAAAAATTTATATTTATATTTGGTGAGAGAATCATAAAAGCACATGAACTAGGAAAGTAAGCTAAAATTGCCCCGTGGAAAAGAGAACTATAAAAAAAGAATTCACAATCTCATTTTAAGCAAAATACCTTTGTTTAACTTCATAATTTTTTACACACTTTCTGTTTTTTTTTTTTTTTTTTGTGGTAATAAAAGTAGAGCCGTATTGTGCTCTTTCATTAAAAACTACATATTTTTTTACAAGAAAATTTATCGGCAGAAGAATATAAAGCAGCATTCGAAATACTCACAAAAAAATGTGATTTAGTTTTTGCCTGATATATCAGTAGGTTGTGTCCTACCATGGCAAATGTCATACAACTACAACTGTATAAGATATGTTTACTAAATTAGCTCTAAGGGAAAAATGACTGCAAGTTAATACTTAAAATTTTCCCTCTGAGTTAGGACAAGAATTTCGTAGAGCTGAAAAAGAAAAACATGCCTCTTAAAAATAAACTTTCATACACAAGCACGGGAAGCAATAAAGATAGCACTTCTAATGCTAAAAACTCACTAAAATAATGTTTTTGATGCCTCAAAATTGGACGCCTTCATCAAATTGTCCAAATCGACATGTGTTCTTAGTAGAAGAGGCCTCGCTCGAGAAAGAAAAAGAAATGGAAGACACACCTGATGATGAAAACAAACACTTACTATATGCAGATGAGGGAGAACTACTTATGATTCCAAGGGTATTGAGCATGACTATAGGTCTAGAGCCTGATTGGCATGGACACAATATTTTTCATAATAAGTGCACTATGAGAGAAAACGTGGGTAATACCATCATTGAAGGAAAAAGTTACTAGAATTTTATCTCTAACAATATAGTTTAAAAATAAACCAACATACTTAAGAGTAGCGTATACATTATAAATTGTCCTGGCTACAGAAAAGAAAAGAAAACAAAAAACACAAAATTATATCTATTGTAATTTTCATAAGTAAAAATATACAAAAAGAGGTGTGCTGTGATATGATTTCCATGAATGCTGGTCATCTAATGCAAGGACCACTATGACAGTATGAGAGGCGTACGATCTATGATGGTTAAGAAAATGCCTATAACATAGAATGCGGAGGTAAGAAGTTGGTTTTGATGCCTATGAAGGAGAATATTAAAAAAAAACTGAAATTAATTCATGAATCTCCAAATCACTACTCTTGCGAGCAATACAAGATTTCCAAACTCAGATGCTCCCTATAATTAAATAAAAATCAGAAATAGGAGTGGTTAGTAGAAATGTGTCTGCCTCTATTGCAATAAAACAAAGATGTTTTACTATAATTATAGACAACATTAAGTGGGTTGAATTATTTTTATCGAAACAATGTAAGTTGAAACAGAAATCGGATATTCAAAATCACATCACTCTGTCTTTAATCAAAGAAATATTTTCATTAGTACTCACCAGAAAAAATTGGTTAGATTTGAGATGATCAAAAGAGCCCTAGTCAAGCAATAAATATGGCTTTTGCATTAAGTGGTCAACCCACCAAAGCCATCAAAATTGCAATATTTTCATCTAGCTAGATTAAGAGAATGTTTAAGACATTAAGGACGAATCTCCCGTGACCCAGGGAGAATAACATAGTTAGAGATAGGTGGGTTTTTTTAATTAAAATTGTTGAGAATTGTATATAGTTTAAGGTCCTATTTATAAATAGGAAATATAGATAGTTTAGGGATTTATTTATAAAGGATGTTGTAAGGCTATATATAAGCCAAGTCATTAATGAATAGAGATGATTTTTCTTGAGCAATTATTTCTATTTGATATCAAAGCTAAGCCTATACGACCGATTGTGAAAATCGCGTATAGAGAACAAAAGCTCCCATCTGCCAGGAGAAGATCGGGGCGTACAGGGATCGTGGCTTCCAAAGACAATAGAGTTCATTGGCTGCTAGATTCGAGGCATACAAAGACCCGAAACTCCTGTTTTTGTCTTTATTACGCTTCGTCATGGTGAAGTAGTAGCAATTAGAGCTAACTGGGAAGATAACGATGGCATTGCGGTGTGACTATGGTGAAGCATTCGTGATTAGAGCTAATTGGAAAAGCAACGGTGGGAATGTGGCATTACCCTCACGATACAGTCGCGATTAGAGCTAGCCAGAAAGGCAAAGACGAAATCATGAGAACTAATTGGGAAGGCAAAAAAGAGCAGGAGCGCGCGCGAGGCAGTGGCGTGGAGCAGCTTCCACCTAGTCTGCGGCTTTTTGTGACTTCTGCGAAGGAGGGGGTGTAGACGGGTGGCTTCGTACGCTACTAAGAGCAGTGGGAGCAGGGTTGCTGGCTGGTTTACGAGTGTCTAGGCTTTGGCGGGCTGATTTGCACTTGAGGCAGGACGTAACACAAAATCACAGGCTAACTGAAAACAACGAAAACAGGATTGCATCATGACAATTGTGAAGCAATCGTGAGCAGAGCTAATTAGGAAGTCAACGATAGGATTGTGGTGTGACCATCACAATGCAGTCGCGATTAGAGCTAGCTGAAAAGGCAACGACGGGATCACGAGAACTAATTGGGAAGGCAAGGGATAGCGAGATATCGCGCGAGGCAGTAGCATGGAGCGGCTCCGACCAAGCCCGCGGTTTTGTGTGACTCCTGCGAAGGAGGGGGTGTGGACGGTTGGCTTCGTACGAGGCCAAGAGCTGAACCAGTAGGGTTGCGAGCTGGTTCGCGAGTGTGTATGATTTGGTGTGCTGATTTGAACTTGAGGCAAGAAGTAACAACAAAGCTTCGGCTCTTTACGCTTCAGTGGAATGTCAAAGCAATTTCGTGCGAGGATAGGAAAGAAGGCTTGTGTGAACTAGACTTGATCCTTGTAATTGAGGATGTCCGGGGACGGAGATCGTGTAGGAGATAAATGATTGGAACTTTTGGGGAAGATTAATCCATAAGTTCTGAAAGTCTTGGATGAGATCATACAGAGAGCTAGCATCTCGACGGGAGCCACTACCTTAGCACATGCCATGACATAGGTGAAGCTAGATCTCCCTCTTTTGGATCTGCAGCTCAATGGGTTGGTCACGTATTTTAGTTGGTCTCATCGGATCGAAGAAGCTCTAGTAGAGAAGAGACAAGAGGGATATCTGACTGGTGGGTCAAGCCAAAAAGTGACAGTGTTAAGGGGGGTGAGTGGAGGACCACAAACGCCTTATTTTACATTTGGCTACTCAACTCAATGGTTCCATTGATTGTCTCATATGTTGATGGTATTCGAAAAGTGAAAGACTTATGGGTAAAGCTGAAGAGGGCATATGCTGAGACTAAGAGCCACATGAGGATGTTTCGGATTCAGCGTGACATAGAAGCAATGGTATAGGGTGATAAATCGATTCAGGAGTACTCTATAGAGCTAGAGCGGTTATGGCAAGATCTTTGATCACTGCTCATCAATGTCGAGTTGTGGTGATTCAGAGTACAATAAGGGAAAGATATTTGGACAGATGAGGAATATGCAGTTTATAAGTCATCTGAACCCGGCCTTTGATCATAAGAGATATGTCATCCTAGCCAATGCAACAATTTCTTTACTGAATGAGGTCATCGCCGCGATGATACAAGAGGAGAGTCGCATGTGGTTATACTATGAGCCAAGTGGACTTCCAAGTATGTGATAAGCTTTGGATGCCTCGAGCTCGGATATGATAGGTACCCAATGGGAGACCCGCAGGTGCTACAACTATGTAGAAGTGGTCCACTTGAACAAGGCTTGTCCAAAACCACCCAAAGAGAGAGAGATGGATGGACGTGGACACTCTAGAGGTCGTGGTCATAATAATGGGGGCCTAAAGGGTGGAAGAGGGGGCTACCGGGTAAATCTGATGATAACAATGAACGAGGGAAAGACAGAAGTAGTCTTTATCGATGAAGATCATGAGTTACTGGAGAAATTGAAGAGAAAGCAAAGAGCAACAGGTGATGTGATTGAAGATAAATTCACCTTATCGTCATCCAAAGAAAGCACTATTGTTTATGCTCACTCATCCAAATGTACCCTTGATACACATACTCTTGCATTTATATCCACCACACAATCACCAAAATGGAGATTAGATTATGGTGCATCTTAACATGTGACAGGTGCCACTAGTGAGTTCTCTTCCTATACTTACCTAGTAGTTCCAGAGAACCATCAGACCATTGATGATGCAACACAGTCTGAGATTGATAAGAGTACAGTGAGGTGTAGCAATTTCATGATTATGTACAATGTTTTGCATGTTCCTTTCTTTTTAGTGAATCTTTAATCCATAAGTGTCATTATACTCCAACTAAAAAGTGTTATTTTATTCGATATTCCTAAAATGATATTTTTAAAATAGGGGGTTGGCCGGAGACTTGGAACTCGCAGGTGGCATAGTGGACTGTGGTACTTGGATAGAGAGAGGATGGACTCAACCTTGACATCCATGGTAGAGAATGGAGCAGAAGGATCTAAGAAGAATGTGGAAGATGTGTTGCTGCTACATCACAAGTGTTGGGACACTCTTCATTTAGTCTATTGAGTCATTTGTATACA